AATACTCCGACATTCTTCTTTACAAATCCTCGTTTTGTACTTCTAATTAGTGACCGTTGTTTTGTTTTGATCTCTCCGCTGCGCTTCCGCGTTCGTCACTTCTGAGCGGTGCATGCGCAAAGCTGACCTCATACGACATCAGCCCGGAGCTGCTTCCGTTTACAACAGTGAGCACAAGCTACATTAAAGTGATTATTACATTTTGAATATGGATATTTTTCTTACAAAGACGCATCGATTCGTTACAGAAGGACTTTGTTCACCCCCCCGGGAGCCGTGTGAGAGACATTTTTTTTTTTATGGATGGGTGCATTTTATTGAACTGCTTTTGGACTGATGCATGCAACACCCGCTGAGTGGCATTAAACAGCTTGAAAGATCAAAGACAATTTTTTATATAACTCTGACTGGAATCGTCTGAAAGAAGAAAGTCATATACAGCTAGGATGACTTGAGAATGAGTAATTTATGGGCTAATTTTCATTTTTGGGTGAACTAACCCTTTAATGTTATGCTCTAAGTTGGTGTAAGCAACATTTTCAAATAAATAAAGTGCTTTTCCGATTACATTCGGCACCAGGCACTGAAGTAAATCATACTCGGCAAAGCATCGAATAGCAGAAAATAGGCTGCATGTACTCAGCATTAGAATACAGATGTAAGTCCCATATTTTGTGCTTTTCATTTTTGGGTGAACTAACCCTTTAATGTAAATCTACATTAAGTTACATAAACAGCTTACAACTTGCAAGTGCGCTGGAAAGCGGCATTGCCATGCTAGCCATTATCATCAGCACTTGGGAGTCTTTGTTGAGCTTTTGTGTGAAACATGACATACAAGGAGGCAAAAACAGATCCTAGGCTCCCAGTTAAAGATTTTCTACACTTTTGATGGTTGGGTTCGAGATTTTTCTGAGTCTTATCAGCACGGAATGCATTGTCTGAAATCAACATCATAATGTCGTCGACATATCGTTCTGACCCTAGTTAATTCTTACATACAAAAATATTTTTGACATTGTCCAACTGTGTTGGATCCAGATTCAAATTAAAAGTGCTACAACATGATGTTTAAATGAATTACGTCAAATGCTTGTTTCAGTGAAAAGCCTTTGTGTAAAGCAGATGTGGGTCTGATCATGTTTGTGTAGAAAGTCTGACTGTGCTTGGCGTGTTTGGACCAGGCTTTGCTGAGTGGGCAGAACTTGTTAGCATGATGTTTTCTGAATACCAGATAAAAACAGAGGCTATTTTGTGTGGGGCCAGCACTGGTTAAGAGCAGACCTCGGTCTGTTTAACGCTGTTATCTCAGCTCATGCTTGCTTAAATGTTCTCCTAGCGCATGCCACATAGACCAGCCTGAACCAAAAGAGATGGACAAAACGAGCCTTTTGTTCTCAGCTCACCTTCCTAACAGCCTGTCTTGTGATTTCACTCTAGCTAGTACAGTTAACTTAAGCTCATCTTAATGCAATGTTCTCTGAATGTCATAAGGGTCTGCTTCTTCAGAAATCATTCTAATATGCTGATTTGCTGCTCAAGAAACATTTTGAAAACAGTTGTGCTGCTGAATATTTTTGTGGAAATATTTCCAAAGAGCTGTATGCTGTTCATTACTATGTATTGTGTTCTTTTATAAACATTTATTCATACTTGGCAACAATCTTTGTTTTGTTTAATTTTGGTTCTTCTGATGGTTGATTTAAACCATCACAAAGCTTATCAGTTAAGATATAATCTATTAGCTCTATTGTCTATTCCTAATTTACACTCACTTTGTTTCAGGTGTTATGAAGGAATTATTTGTCCATGTCTGTTGCTAGTATGTATGTGCACAGATTTATGTTTATGTACAGTCTTGAGGAAGCTGTAGGTCTGGTCTGTGTTAGATGTCAGGCTCAGTTTGTCTGTGTTTTGTAAATTATTTTGTGTTTTTAGCTTGTGGTTCGGGCGTATATGTGTGTGTTCAGAACATATAGGCTGACAGGAAACAGCATCGCTCTGAGTAAGCTAAACTAAACAGTGCTCATGCTCTGCGGTGAAGTTCAGATAAACCTTCATTCCATGCATTCATCCAGTCTTGTTTCCTCGCACTTTATTAAGCTCTGCTCTGGCCCCTGGGACTGGCAGCTATTTGAAGGAAAATTAGCATTCCCGAGCTTCTCCTCTGCATGACTGCCTCTGACCCACAGCGTCGCTCTCCGCAACGGCTCTTTAGTTCTCTGTGTGTGTCTGGAGTCTTGTTATGAGCGCAGTAAACGTGTCCGCGTGTACCTCCACCTGTTTACATAGATTACGAGACTAAAGATAGTGAGAATGCACAGCGCATAGTTGTGCAGGAGAGAGCGGTTGCCCACTGGAGGGGAGTGCGGGGAGCGTGCGAGTGAGGTGGGCTGACGGGTCCGATGAGCAGATGGAGGAATGTCTGATGTGTTTTGTCAGCTGGAGCCAGAGAGGGAACGAGAGAAACAGGTGTTTGATCTCTTAGGTCAGAGCACAGTACGTAAATGAAAACACGAATGATTGGCCAATGCATTTCAAGTTCTGTACATACTTACCAACAGAGTAGCGAAAAAAGGAGTTCACTTCAAATGTAGGGCCCTATGAAATATTTATCTTTTCACACATTCATTTTTTTTCCATTTTCTATTGTCTGGATTCTGTTTTTAATGGTTAATTGCAACTCTACACGTGTTGCCATTCGATATTGCGATTTTTGTTCGCTTTTTTAACTCTAGACTTGGGCTGGGAATCTTTAGGCACCTCACGATAATGCAATGCAATGGCAAAATGATTATCGATGCATTTTTTCCTTTTATAGATCCCCCCCCCCACTGTGTGACTACCTGGTACTTACAAAGCAAAGTATTTGTAATGATTACAAATATCAAATTATCAATTTTATATAAAATTTATTTGTGCATTTTTATTAAATTATATAAGCAGGCGACTTTTTTAAATAATTACAAATTAATAATAAGTCAAACCAAACCAGCAGTTCAATTCCAGGCTGCAGCAAAGTCACATTGTGCAGAGGACTCATCTGGTTCCTGTGGTCTTGTCCCAGTGGCCATCTATGAGACAAGGTCTTCACTGGGGATCTATCTCTGGGGCTTATCTAGTTGTCCTGATCTCCGCTGACATTCAGGGCAGTAGAGGTCCTCTGTCAGTACCGCCGCTCCCTATACGCAGAGTATGCAGGTTGCGTAGAGCACCAACTCCCCGGGGGGCACCATACCAGTTGCTCAAAAAAAACTTTCGTTCTATATTAATATTAAAATTAACATATACATAAGTAAAAATATGTTTGCGGCTGAATGCAAATGATCATAATTGATGGACAACCATGCCGTGAAAAGACATCAGCAATCCGGCGCCGAGAAAAGAAAAAGAAAAAAAGATGAAGCCCGTGCATCACTTTCAGGTAGCCTACATTCATAATCCTGTGAAACTTTTTTAGATGTTGACGTTAATAACGTGTTTAACGTCGGTGATAATTTAGCCACCAACAACGCATCTAATATTCGCTCTGACTTTCCATGTTCCCTTTCAAAAATTAGCCATGGTTTTACGAATAAAACCAAAAATCATGGTTCTTGTAGCCATGGATGGTAACCACAAATTAACCATGGTTTTGTTAATTCAAATACACTGAAAAAATTATTCATTGAATTTACTAACTTTTTTAAGGTAAGTGGTTGCAATCAATTTATTTTAGCTACATATAAATAAACATTTTGTTGACTAACTTTCAACATTTTTTTTTATTAAATGTAGCTAAAATAAATTGTTTGCAACCATTTACCTTAAAAAATTAGCATCATTTTTTTTCAGTGTAATAGTTTACAAAGAAGTATAAAGATAATATTTTTTGTAGTTATAAAATCAGACCTAAGCCAACAACAGCCTTTAAAATTACTTAAAATGCATTATATAAAACAATGAGGCAATAATGATTGGTTAATTATTAATTAAGTGGTTTCATTGAATAACACTGTTAAAATACATAATGTAATGCAAAGTAAACAATTTTTGCCTTTGGCCAAGGGAGCCAAAGGCCTGGTAACTGCTGCTGGTGCACTTACTATATTGGCCAAACATTTAATTCAAATATCCACTTAATGTTTAATTTTTGGCCACCATTTTGCAGAAGATGCGGCATTTTGCAAAATGCGGCAGCCTCAATAATTTCTTCAACAAAAACATGTGGACATCACAACCCTTACAAAAAAATTAACCATGGTTTTATTGTAGTAAAACTGCTTAGTTTTCTTTTGCGTGATTTCTAAATCCTTGAGACTAAAATCAATCAGACAACTGTATTAATAAAATCATAGCCATAGGTGCTACAATTGTAATTTGTAAATAATACAATATAATTACAATTTATTTATTTACTTTTATATTTTATTAAAGTTCTGTTTGATCCATAATATTTGGGGAAGGGGGGCACAACAATACAATTCTGCTTAGGACACCCATTTGTCCTCTGTAGATTACTTAAATATTAAGTAATAAAGAGGGGAAAAGAAACACATTACCAGTGATAAACAAAAAATACTTTCAGTATCTCAGAGTGCTTGAAGTATCCGAAAGTTTACAGACGATCACAGTTATGGGTTTTTCTTTTTTTCTCAGCATTATTACTGTTTGATTATTCCTGATGACATCATAGACAGCGACAGCTTTAATAGGCTGCATTCACACTAATGCACAGATCTATTTCAACATATCAGATGTTTTGTCCTGTCCTTAAGACATGACTGACTGTGTTTACATGAATTTCTTATCATAAAGTATTTGGAGATGCGAGTGCATTTAATCTCTCACATGGAGTTGCGCACAGCCACGAGCGCGCTTCAGAACGAACACACGCAAAGCACACTTGAGCGTCTCTCAGTACATGAGTTTCATGTATCCAATGTGTACTGTGTTCCAAACAGCATAGACAATGCCTTCGTCGAGCATATCTAACATAAAACACTGAAGAAAGCACACACTGTCAAGCAATGCACATGTTTCTCACAGGTATATCCTGTGCAGTGAAGCCCACAATCGTCTCTAGCGCACATTCTACATATACGTAAAAAAAACGAAGCTCAGAATCGTTGAACAGAGAATCGCGATCCATCGGAAAATCGATTTTTTTTTTCAAGCACATGTTGCATGCTTGACTTTAACTGCACTGTATAAGCTGCTTTGGTATAAGTAATATAATTAGCAGAACATTTCAGATGATTAAACAATGCAACTTAAGTTCCAGAAAATACAGTAAATAGACACCGAAATGGCTAAATGTTGGCCTGTAATTTGGCCATAGTTTTTGTTCGTTTTAGCCATCAGACATTGTAGACTCTAGGCGCGTTTCCATTACAGATTTGCTCAAAACTTTGGTGATATTTTATAAATGTCGATAAAGTATTGCGAAATGACGGCGTTTCCATTAACCAATGTTATCTGACTAAAACGTAACCTTTTGCTTCTCGCGATAAGTCATGGCAACGGATTTTGGTGGGATTTTGGTTATATTTAGCCATTTGGCGTATGCGTGTATCTTTAGAGAAGCAGCACAGAGAGCCGCTTCAGAAACGTGCGTGGCGCGGCTGGATTCTGGAATAAACACAAGCATTGTGGCCGCAATCAGCTTCAGTGGCCGTATCAGAGCCACACTGCACCACAGACATGTGCATTGTGTAAATTGTCTAAGCATTAATGGTAGGGAAAGCCCATTATACTGGAGAGCGGCCACGTATGATGTGTTTCTTGGAGGTTATAGTACATTGAAGAATGATCATATGACTTTTTACATATGCCATGTGACCTGTAAATGCGAAAAAGCCGTTTCCATTGCAGTTTTGCAAATTATTCCTTTTTCGCATTGCCTGCCTTTTTTTTTAACATTTTGCGATATATGGGCGTTTTTGCGAAATTGACGCGTTTCCATTAGGCGTATTTTCAATTCTCAATTTCAATTTGCGCAATTTGAAGGGTAATGGAAACGCGCCTAGTGTGTAAATGACTTATTAAACAGTATAGACGTCTTCTGCGATTGTAAGTCCACAACTCACAGTCAGCAAGCTCAAAACAGTGTCCTTGCTTTGAATAAACTCATGCTTTGAGTTTTTATGCTGGGGATTGAGCTGAATCAATCCCCTATACTCAAACTGATCTCTCAGTAATATCCCACAGCAGAAATCATGCTGTGTTTAGATCAGAGGGTTTCGTCCAGCAGAGAGACTTGCTTAGAAATAGCATCATAGACTACACAAATGGCCCATATAAGGGAAAATGTGAAGGAAAACATTGCAAAGCCCCCATAACACTTAAAATCTCAACAGGCTGAGTAGAAATGCTTTGATTCCTGTTTTTTTTTGGACACACTTCATGGACTTCAAAAAGTTGTACAGAAAATGGCATAGTCTGCTGCACCAACTAGTGCGAGGAAAAAATTTTTTTTATGTTTCAGACTCCCTGCTGTGTACATCAGATGAGCCTCTGTATATCATTACTGACCACGAGCTCACAGAGAGAAACCCAAAAATTACTCCCAAATTCTTAATCTCCTCTGGACAATCAAGATTTGCCTTTCTTGAACTCAATTTGGCTTGTTTTGTGGCTTCTCTGTGAAGTCCCGGTGTTTGGTGGAGACACCAGCAGTGGTTTGTCTGAAGGGACAGAGGCTCATTGTTCTGGAGCTGTTAGGAGGGCAGCTTTGTTCGTGACCCAGTCCAAATGTGCTCAGTATCAGATCCACCAGGGATTCCCTGACATTTAAGTGCTGTACAGAGCTTTTTCTGCTGAAATGGGATGGTATGGTGTCTTGGTAATCCTGTATCCTTATCTGAACAGTTAGTCAAATTAGTTGGTCTTAAAGGGTTAGTTGCCTCAAAAACTTAAATTCTGTCATCTTTTACTCAATCTTATGTCATTCCAAACCTACATACTTGGTTTTGCAAAATGCAAAAGAAGATATTTGAAGAATGTTGAGGTCCAAACAACATAGGATTTTTCAAAGTTTCGTCTTTGAGCAGAAGAAAGAAAATCATACAGGTTTGGAACAGACTATTCGGCAGAACGCAGTGGAAAAGAACAGTTCACAAGGATCATTTACTAGTATTTTTAAGTTAAAACGTCTTTAAAAACACTTGAATTGAATTTGGATGGAATGTTTTAAAGAACGTGATCACACCTTTTTTTAACTTAACGTCCTTAAAGAGATAATTTGCTTGAAGCACACATAATGCGGTATGTACCAAATTAAACAGAAATGGATGACTGAATCACGTGATAAATCGGACACCTGAATTCCAATTAAATTCCAGTCTGCATTGTGAACATCCTTGAGATGCATGTAGCTAAAGCTCTCGAGGTTCAAAATGATCCATATGCTTCACTTTCAGTAGAATATGGCCATTTGTTGGTCTGGTGTCCTCCCATGAGGAAGACACATGGGATGAGATTCATTCATCTCTTATCATCTTTATTTTCCTTCTGAGGAGACATTGGATTCAGAATGGAGTGTTTCTTGGAAATCCTGCATTTTTGTCTCTGCAGAATAAAGCTGAAGTTAAACTGGAAAATAAAGTTTACCTCCATTCACAGAGCAGTTTCTCTGTAGAGTCATAAATCTGTCATCACATTCCTCTCCATTCCCAAAAGCACTCATTCATTAGCTGCCATCGTTCAAAAAATCTACATAAAACGTTCAGTGAATCAGCGAAAGTGTATAATAGTTTTTAGAACATGTAAAACTTCATTAATAGATGTTTTTATTGTAGCTAATGGTTTTTTGGGGTGGATTTGTGTGCTTGCTGGTTTTTGAGTCCACCGGAAGCCTCAGACATCCTCTCATGAGTAGTGAGTGTGTGAAAAGTCTCTGTATTTTTACTCATCTCTCTGGAGAAAGATTGTCTGTCCTGTGGTCCACATCTCCCAGCATTCGATGGGACTAATATCTGTTTCCTGGCAACAGACTGATCTTTGTCTGTGAGCTTTTCACCCAGAAAAATGTCTTGTCATTTTCTCACATAACTGCCGATTGTCTGTTGCAGACTACCGCACTGACCAGGCTTGATTAACGTAATTGTTGGTCTTGGGGAAAAACAAAACATTCCTGAAAAAAATATGAAGTAGCAGCACAACTGTTTTCAAAATTGATAATAATCAGAAATGTTTCTTGAGCATCGAATCAGCATGGCCATATAATAGTTTTTAAAGACCTCTGTGGTGAAAATCTATTTTTTTCTGTCTGGTGTTTTTAATATGTTTAAAGGCAAACCATTGTGCAATTTCATCAGTCAACACCATTGCCGACTATTTTCTCCTTAAACCTGCAGTGAACCAAAGACCATCCTACCTACCATCACAAACATGCAACCAATCCTGTTATCTTGCTTTTAATATCATTAGCAGTGTGTTTCTACCTAAGGATACTGATTTGTAGAAGGTAGATGTCTGAGATGATGAATGGGAACATGGTGTGTGTAATATTAGCACATTATTAGCTGTTGGATAATGTAGTCAAGCCAAAGGCTAATGTCAATTACCATTACATGTCTGATGTTGTAGAGAGCGATACATAAAATGCATTAACATTCTGATACATTGAATTGTAGACAACCTTGTTTCGCTCTTCTTCTTCTTTGGAACCGGTTTCTGGTTAAAACATATATAGCTGAATTAATCCAATATCGCCACTTGCCACTGTGTAGCGTTCACTACTTTAGTTAACCGAGTGAGTGAAAGTGGAGCAGGTTTGAGCTGGTGTGAATGGATGGAGGCGGGGACTAATTTGTATATTAATTTATAGTGTTGACTAAATGAAGATAAGGTTGTAGAGTTACATTCAAGCCATTTAAGAGTAAGACAGACAAATTGTTTCCATTTCCAAAAATGTTTAAATATGCCATTTTGATTATCAAGGATGAGTTTTAAGGGATACAATTTATTGACTAATTTTTAAATGGAAAACAGCTATTTTAAATTAATATTTCACAATATTACTGTTTTTGCTGTATTTTGGATTAAATAAATGCAGCCTTGCCCTTGGTGAGCAGAAGAGACAGTACAACTCATCACACAAAACCGTTTCTGCCAAGCATCATCTGAATAATCCAGCTGAGCAGTGATGGTTTCAGCATTAAAGTAAACGTTCCTGTTGCCAGCAGACTCATTGGCCCGGTGAAGCGTGTTCGGCAGACTCATTGCCCCCCCCCCCTGCAGAAAATGTGCGGAATGTTCCCCTTTCCTGTGGGACGGGGTATGTCTGAATGGGGAGGATTTGTCTGTCTGTCTTTCTGTTGAGGTAAAAAGCCCAAAACAGTCTGGATTGGGACAGGAAGTCCTCACCGTGGGCTGGAAAACAGCAGTGAGTGTCTGAACTGCATATTTTGCAAAGTGCTGACACTTTCTTAATGCGTTTACTGTGTGTGTTCATTGGATTCAATAAACCTTTCCGTCATGTGCTTTGAGTTTAGTCCATAATTTATTTTCGAACTTGTAAACATGTATCAGATTCAGTTATAACATTGTTAGGTATTTCTCTGAGGTTTTTGCTGAAGGTTTAAGTGAGAACAGTGAGCAATTAAGGTTGTGACAATGAGTGTGTTTACATCTGCAGTCTTCTGTGATTATGCTGAAGCCGAAATCATGTAAGGTCATGGAATAGCCTTGTGTCCTTTTATTGGGAAAAGGTAATAAACAAAAAATCCAGTCAACACCTCATCACGAGGGTTATTATAGTTAACTAAAACTAGTTTACTTTCAACCATAATACAGCATCTGTTGCTTGAAATAAAATAAACATTAACTGAAATAAAATACAAAAAAACTTTAAAAATAAAATAAACTTTGAACATATTTACTGTAGTTTAACTTCATGTATTAAAATTAATACAAATATATATAGACATAAAAAAACTATAACTAATAAACACAATAAAATTGCTGAAAATAGAAAATATAAAAAAAAAACTCTTATGGTTTCTCAATGATACTTTGTCATTGACATATTTATCAGTGTCCTGTAATGTTACTGAATTGATGATAAATGTCTTTGTCGTGTGTTTTCTGCAGGTCGAAAGCTCCGAGGGAAAGCCTTTTACTACGTTTGTGGGAAAGTGTTTTGTGAAGAGGACTTCCTGGTATGCTGTCTTCACCTCTTCTTTTTATGGGGTTTTCATGGCTGAACATGTCTTGAGACATGTCTTACATTCATAGCTCATAGTTATGTCAGAAGAATTTGTCAACTCATCTAAAGCATGTCTTTAAAGACATGACGTGTCAGGTTTCAGAACATGAACCTGGCTATGAGTTCACCTTAGCTCGACTTGGCTCAATCGTTTAAAACGTAGACCAGTGGGTTTCAGCGGTCTGAGATGTTTTTATTTAGGATTTAATACAAGAAATTGATTATCAGCAAAGTAATTTGAGTAAAATTCACACGACTTGAATGTCTCAGTATTTGAGAATCTTGAAGAAAATCTGACAGTTTCTACATAATCAGTGTCACGGATTTGTTCATTTCATTTGATCAGTAATCTGGAAATAAATGACATTTCTTCCATAAATGCGATAGCTTTTCTCTTTATTTAAAAATTTTCAGAATCCTAAGCCTTTATTTCAATGGAAAAAATTACTTTTACATTAAGCTTGTGCATATAATTGTGTAGTGTAGAGAGGGGGTTAGGTTTGCCACATTCATGTATGTATTGTGTAGCTGTTTTAAAATAAAATTACTGCTACATTTTCCTTAGACAAGCAAAAAAAAAATTTTTTTTAATCATTTCCAGCTCTTATAAATGGCTTAAAAATGGTGCATAAATAGCTTAAAAAGCAAATGAACCCAGGGAGAGTTGGGAGGGTGCTTCAAATGAGGTGAAACCGCATTCCAGACAAAAAAAATACAGTTTGTGTTATTATTTGAAGGTTCTTAAATTAGAGAAATGATTATATCTGAGTTGTTAATGTTGTGTGGGTTTGAGAAAATGAAGTGACGGAAAGGAATGAGAGTCCGTTGAAAAGCTCACTTCTGTCCTCGCTCTTGTCTTTAATAGTACTCTGGGTTCCAGCAGTCTGCCGACAAATGCAACGTGTGCGGACATTTAATCATGGACATGGTGAGTCTGATGTACCTCCACACCCTGCATTAGTCACAATATCACATGACTGAGAGTCTCACACCACAGAGCTTGAAGGAATCGGTTGGGTTTCATTTGTACAGCTACCTTATTATACAGTGCTCCTTAACATAGATTTTGCTAAATGTACAGTAATACAGATGTAAGATCTTACATCTTATATTAGGTGTCTAACTACTATGTACTCGCATCAAAAAATTAATTGTTAGGTACAATGTACTTATTGTGTTCACGTTGCACTGCAATACATTTGCTGGATGTGGTTCAGGGACTGGTTTTGTGGTATGGTTAGTTTTATAATTACATGCAGGTATTTTTTAAATGCAAGTACAATTTAAAACATGTATGTATACAACATCACAACATTATTATCGTTAACTAAAACAAAAACCATAAGATTTCATAATAAATTATGCAACGTGTGCGGACATTTAATCATGGACATGGTGAGTCTGATGTACCTCCACACCCTGCATTAGTCACAATATCACATGACTGAGAGTCTCACACCACAGAGCTTGAAGGAATCGGTTGGGTTTCATTTGTACAGCTACCTTATTATACAGTGCTCCTTAACATAGATTTTGCTAAATGTACAGTAATACAGATGTAAGATCTTACATCTTATATTAGGTGTCTAACTACTATGTACTCGCATCAAAAAATTAATTGTTAGGTACAATGTACTTATTATGTTCACGTTGCACTGCAATACATTTGCTGGATGTGGTTCAGGGACTGGTTTTGTGGTATGTTAGTTTTAAGATGTAATTACATGCAGGTATTTTTTAAATGCAAGTACAATTTAAAACATGTATGTATACAACATCACAACATTATTATCGTTAACTAAAACAAAAACCATAAGATTTCATAATAAATGAAATTAAATATATTTTAATAAACATTTCATTTCAGCTTGAACTTATTTTTAGTTTAAGTCGATGTACTAAAATAACTAAAATTAAAATGTATAAAAACTATATAGACATTACATAAATGAATAACATTTTATTTCAGCTAGTGGCTAGGCTTGCCGCGATAGACGGTGCTGACGGTGATACCGTTGTTAAGCCGCAACACCGGTTACGTCACTTGCCCACCACGGCACCGACCCCTACCGTCGTTTTGATCTTTTTTATAGTAAAAGAACAGACACTACAATTATAAACTGAAAGTGGCTGCTCAATGCACCGTGCCGAACGACAGTCGCATCACAGATCAGATTTCATTTATCCAGTGAGGAGAGTGAGTTGAGCTGACTGACAAGAAGAGTGAGATGAGACAGACAAGACGATCGCGGATGATTTAGTTTCGAAACGAAATGCAAAAGCCCCTGTTTGGCAGTATTTCGGATTTTGAAAAGCCTGTTAACTTTTGCCGTTTATCTAAGGTGATTTTGGAAGTCTTTTTAAACATTAGTTTCTTATTTAATTGGTTCCACAGTGTTTGCTGATTTTTACTTTATTTAAACTTTGTGTAATTTATTTATTTTATTTGACGTTAAGGTGTATGCCGTGCCTCCAAGCTTTCTTATTCGTTTTGCTAATAAACTTTATACGTTTCTTATTTATTTGGTTATATATTATACATGTTTACTTATTTCCAGTTTTGTATAGACTACCTATTTAAACTTTATGAAAGTAATTTGTTATTTTATATTAGGCATAGTCTGCCCTATAGCATGGTGTATTTTTATTCGTTTTGTTAATAAAAGTTCAATGTTTTATATATAGGCTAAAGTGAGTTTGATGTTGTATTTTGTTGTTGCATTCAAGCAATTGACGCCGAATTGACGCTAATTCGAAGTGAAAGTAAAATGTGCACGGTGCTTTTAAGCTATTTAAAAGCGAAGGGAAAATTCAAACGAACTAAAAACGAACAATTGCTTTACGCCAAATTGCCGCTATTTGAAAGTGAAAGTAAAATGTGCATGCCGCTTTTGCAAGCTATTTAAAAGCAGAGGAAATGCCCCTGCCCTCACAGTGATACCGGTATTATCGGTGTTGTCACACGTCGATTAACCGGTGGGAAAATGTCCTCACCGTCACAACCCTACTAGTGGCTAATGCAACCTTTCTCATGTTTGTTTAGTTTATAAGTACTAAAATAACTAAAACGAATTATTAATATTACACTATATAGGCATATTATTAAAAAATAATTATTAAAAAAACTACAAATAGCAAAAACGTGCAACAAAATTACTAAAACTTTCAAATTAAAGGAAATATAAAAATAAAATCTAATTCAAAAATACAAAAAAGAAAATAGTATATCAATGATACTAAAATAACACTGGTGCACAATAAGTTCATTATATCAAATGATTAATTTATATGTTAGTACATAGTACACTTTAATATAAAGTGGCTCCAGTGTAACTTACGTTTAAGATTTTTGTTCTCATGCGCAGATGCCCATCTCTTCTAATAGAGTCACGTTGACATGAGAGGAAGCATGTCACACACAAAATCTGTATCTGTTGGTTGTGTGTTGTTTGGCAGCATGTGAACATGGTGTTCCTCCTCAGATCCTGCAGGCGCTGGGAAAGTCTTACCACCCAGGCTGCTTCCGCTGCGCCATCTGCAGTGAGAGTCTGGATGGAGTGCCTTTCACTGTGGACACAGAGAACAAGATCTACTGTGTGAAGGACTATCACAGGTGAGTTTGTGTGGAGCTGCAGGTCCGTGGCCAGTCACAATTCTTGATTATACGTTTAAGTGTGTTTATTCATTGATGGTTTGATCTGACCTCTTTATGTCCAGAAGACTTTTAAGTTCATAAGACTACACTGGCTGTGCCGTGTGTTTGTTTTTATGTGCAGACCACAAGCATAACTCTACAAAAAGAAGCGTTTTCCTGGTATCATTTTTGCCGTACATTGTCTTTTTGAACAGATGGTTTATTTTGCAGTCACTGGAGATTTTGCAGTGGCCTTGTGTTTTCAATCATCTAAACTGCCTAAAATTTGAATTATTGTGAATTTTAACCTTCAATTTCAGATATCATCATATTTTTGTAATAACTTTAAAAGTGAACGCAATAAACTACACTCAGGCAAGAGTCAATGGTGTACTGAAGGTTGAAAAAAGTAACTGAATGACTGAACTTTGCTCTCAGGACAAGAGCAAATAGTTAATATCTGTTGTTACTTTATATCAAGGGGTTCTTTGTAGCCAAGACTTAGCTTTTTTTGTGCCTATTGAAGTTGACTTTCCTAATTAATCTACCCTGGGAAATACTGATTCAAGTTTAAAGTGTGACAACTAGCCCAGCTACTCCCCTAGTTAGTAAAGTTCATGTAATGATGGCATTTCCTTATTTTAACACTGCTTTTTATTCAAGAACTTTAAATTGACCAAAACTGCAAAAAGGATGGCCATATACACTTTGTCCAGATATTATTATTATAGCCCATTGTTGATGGCTGCGCTCCATAAAAATCATGACTTAAGGTCTGCATGCACTGGAAATTGTGACGTATGTATCCGAGTGAAACAACAACTCGAACAAGAAAAAAATGCAAGGCAAAATTTTGTCCATTGGAAATTAATTTACTGTTGTTTGCTAATTGCTGTGTTTCATGTAAATCATAATCTTTAATCAAAATTGATGTGCACCAATAAGTCATTATTGGTGCACATCAGTACAGTATAATAAATACGGCATTCCATTAAAAAATAAGAATTGCCAGTTTTTATTTTATGGTGACTTTTGACTGGCAAAGCAAAGATTAACTGCAGATGTATAAAATGAGCTGTATATTTCCTTCAGTTGATGGTAGATGGTATGCTATGTGGTGTTCAGCATTCTCCATAATTTCTTCCACAGGCATTTTCCTAGCAGTAGCTTGATGTAATGGCATTTTATTGTGAGTTTTATTGGTGTTGAGGGTGTGTGTGCAAATTCTTATGCATCCTTTGCCTTGAGCAGTGAACTGAGCAATGATTACTGTTGTTCCAAAACCCCAGACAGACAGACAGTCAGGTGGTGACCATATGGAGATGAAATCAAACAGTGCTTTCCCACTCTGTCCTTCTGGGATTGGGCTATTCACAGGCTATTCGAAGAGCCAGCAGTTCTGCAGTCTAGTCCAGTGCCTTTCTTCCCCTCTTCTCAATCGACCTTTCACTTCCAAGTCATAGAGTGGCTCAAAAAGTATTTGGGCACACCTGTAAATTATATTTTGTTATCTAACGCAATGACAATCAGACAAAGCAAACGAAAAAAGACGCACTTTGCAAGCAAATATTTCACAAAAATGGGTTTTAAATAACAAATAGACGATTTATGAGAGAGTAGTTGCATTATTCACTTAACCGTTTTGTGCAAAAATGCTAATTCATTTCACAACTTTGTATTCCTCTGAAATGGAGAATGGTTAATTCTGCTTTGGATTTGTTTGAAGTCATTTTAGTTGACAGCAAAATCAGTCTGCCAAAAAGAAAGTAACTGGAAAAATTGTTTCTAAAATATAACTCACTTAGTATTAACTTGTTTATTGAACTGTTGTATACATGCAATGCCACACTTGAAATTGTGCTGTTGGATCTGAATGTAAATATTGATTTTAAGAACAACAGCATTAAAGGGTTAGTTCACCCAAAAATGAAAAATTAGTCCACAAATTACTCGCACTCAAGTCATCCAAGGTGTAAATGACTTTCTTCTTTCAGACGAATCCAGTCGGAGTTATATAAAAAAATTGTCTTTGATCTTTAAATCTGTTTAATGCCACTCAGCGGGTGTTGCATGCATCAGTTCAAAAGAAGTGAAATAGACGATTTATGAGAGAGTAGTTGCATTATTCACTTAACCGTTTTGTGCAAAAATGCTAATTCATTTCACAACTTTGTATTCCTCTGAAATGGAGAATGGTTAATTCTGCTTTGGATTTGTTTGAAGTCATTTTAGTTGACAGCAAAATCAGTCTGCCAAAAAGAAAGTAACTGGAAAAATTGTTTCTAAAATATAACTCACTTAGTATTAACTTGTTTATTGAACTGTTGTATACATGCAATGCCACACTTGAAATTGTGCTGTTGGATCTGAATGTAAATATTGATTTTAAGAACAAAGGTGGTGAACAAAGGCCTCCTGTAGCGAATCGATGCGTTTTTTGTAAGAAACATATCCATATTCAAAACGTAATAATCACTTTAATGTAGCTTGCGCCAACAGTCCTACACAGAAGCAGCTCTGGGCGGATGACGTATGTGGTCAGCGAATAGCAACATTTATTGCAAAAACAGTTAAGTTAGTTCTGAGAAAAGATCTAACATCATTTGATTGAAGAAGACAATCAATCAAAGACAATTTTTTTTTGGTATTTTATGTAATGAAATGGCATTCACACATTTTAAGTGTTGCTAAAGTGCCCAGATTCTTCTTTGGGCCACTAAGTATCCTATTGTGCTCTGGATAAAGAGTCATGCTGATATGACTTTAATTTGGAAAAAAAAAAAACATTTAGTGGATAATCTGTGTGATTAGTATTTTTTCTCTTTTCATCTTCAGAGTTCTTGCACCTAAATGTGCAGCATGTAATCAGCCGATCCTGCCCTCTGAGGTAAGACACCAATTCAGCCTGAACTCCATAAACTAATGAGAAACAAATCTCATTTGACTGTACCCCAGGACCCCAGAAAATCACTTAGAGTCTGAAATTTAGTCAAGCCGTATTCTCAGCCTGTCATCGAATCAGCTTTCTCTGTATTAGAGCCTCGTGTCACAGCACTGCCAATGTCAATCTAGCCTTATGATGTCTTTTTGCTTGTTATGGGACAAATGAACCAATCAGAGCATGGGAATGTTCTACTGAGTAGACCTTTGCTTAAACTATGTAGAACATCTAGGTCATTCCAGAAGAGTTAAACCTTCTTTAGGCCTGTTACTGAATGTAATTCTGTTAGCACTGATGAAGGAGTGATTACTACTAAGTTAGGGCATGTGTAATTTGTTAAAGATCTGTGTGATTAGTATTTTTTCTCTTTTCATCTTCAGAGTTCTTGCACCTAAATGTGCAGCATGTAATCAGCCGATCCTGCCCTCTGAGGTAAGACACCAATTCAGCCTGAACTCCATAAACTAATGAGAAACAAATCTCATTTGACTGTACCCCAGGACCCCAGAAAATCACTTAGAGTCTGAAATTTAGTCAAGCCGTATTCTCAGCCTGTCATCGAATCAGCTTTCTCTGTATTAGAGCCTCGTGTCACAGCACTGCCAATGTCAATCTAGCCTTATGATGTCTTTTTGCTTGTTATGGGACAAATGAACCAATCAGAGCATGGGAATGTTCTACTGAGTAGACCTTTGCTTAAACTATGTAGAACATCTAGGTCATTCCAGAAGAGTTAAACCTTCTTTAGGCCTGTTACTGAATGTAATTCTGTTAGCACTGATGAAGGAGTGATTACTACTAAGTTAGGGCATGTGTAATTTTTTAAACCCCCCCCCCCCCCCTCTGCTCTCCAACACCAGCAAGAGCTCAGTTATCTTGCACCTGCATGGAGGCACTTATGAGAAACTCTACAGGAATTCCTCTTCTCTGATCACAGCCGAGAGTACTGTAACATTAACACTGCTCACAGATGAACCATCGCTTTACCCAGAAAAGATCAGAAAGCAAAAAGGAATAGTTCACTCAAAAATGACGTGACTTTTTTCATAAAACAACAGTTCATAGTGACAGTGACTAAATAATGACAGAATATTTATTTTGGGAGAGCAACAATAAACATTAACCAACCCAGGCTCATGGGAAATAGGTGACTCTGCCTACATTTCTGCAAAACTCCAAAAACATACCTACATTATACATTAAATTCACTACCATTTCCAGCTGAAATGAACACTAGAGGCAGTGAAACGCCAACGACTTTTATTCCTTTTCACACAAATGTTGATAAGAGCAGATAATTGATTAATGAAGACTGCATTGTTCACAATATTGCACAATACTATATTATGACCTCAAAACACTTTTACCAAATTGCATGGCAAAAACATACCTACATTATACATTAAATTCACTACCATTTCCAGCTGAAATGAACACTAGAGGCAGTGAAACGCCAACGACTTTTATTCCTTTTCACACAAATGTTGATAACAAGAGCAGATAATTGATTAATGAAGACTGCATTGTTCACAATATTGCACAATACTATATTATGACCTCAAAACACTTTTACCAAATTGCATGATTTACCATGATACCTTGTGTTCTCCCATAGGAATCAGATGAAACCATTCGAGTTGTTTCCATGGACAAGGACTACCACGTGGAGTGTTATCACTGTGAGGTGAGCTTAACTTTGGAGATGACGATAGTAATACAGACAACACTCAATGGTGTTATCTGTGCTGATTTCTTGTTCTTCTCAATGGTTAATGCAAGTAAAGAAACCTTGTTGTTGAAAAACAAATCACCACTTCCCCTTGAGGCCTGCATGCCTTGACATGTGATGTTAATAAAGATCTGCTCATGTCTTAGAACTGAGGAGCATGATTTTGAAGAGTCATGTGAGTGTGAATCTCTTCCCACAGGGCTGTCATGTGGAGCTGAATGACGAGGAGGGTCACCGCTGCTATCCTCTGGATGGACACTTGCTCTGTCACGCGTGTCACCTCAAACACACAGACCCTGCCGCCTCACAGTCTACAGCACACAACTACCACAGTCAGTTTTAAACATCTGCCACCCCCTAGTGGGTGTTCAGAGACATCACCGTTTGCCAAAGATGCTCAGATATTGCATTGCCAAAAATCACAACTGAGATTGAGATTACAAACTGTGTGACACATTATTATTATATATTGTATTTTGTCTGAATTATTTACTTTACTGTTTTGTTGTTTTTGAGATTTGCATTTATTCATATTTTATTAGTTTGGATACAAAAGAAAATAGTTGAGTCTTGCTTGTATAATACAAATGCTGTAAACAAAGAGCCACTGGCTTATGCAAAAATACTGCTACAGATTTTTGCAAGTAGCGCAACCATTACATATATTGTTATAAAACTTCATCTGAATTTCTCAAATGGCACCCTAATAGTGTATAAACATTTATTTAATTAAAACTGTGCTCCGTAATTGTTTTGATGGTCCTGTGCTGGTCAATATGGCAAAAAAGGTTGTTTTTTGGGTGATGTTATTGCAGACATGCCTAATACACAGTCAGCCACGATTTAGTACACAACTGAAATTATCCAATAACAAGAATCTTTTTTAATGAGGAAAAAATTACGGTGCACCTTTAACAGACCAAATAAACAGACATGCCTATTTATGAATGTATATTTATTATAAGCCCCCAGTTGCATGAACATTAGGTAGTACGCTTTTAATTTTGTCTAATGCGATTTCCTTTTAACTGACAAACATGAACATTTATTGTTTAAATCCAAAAGCTAATGCAGATATTTGTGCGAGTGTACTGACTTAAGGTCAGTTTGATTTCAAATGACAGCTCATCATTATTTACTTTATAAAAGTGTGAGTTTTATTATTCAGTCATGCAATCAAGTGCATTTTCACAATTCACAAGGCGGTTATTTCAGAATCTAGAGCTTCTGTTAAAATCCTTTATTGTTTGTACATTTTGTTCAATCAAGATTTGGTACAATATAACGTCGGGTTGTTTGCCAAGTTTGAATCGGATCAAAAGTTATTCTTGAGAAATTCACAAATGTAACTCAGCTCAGCTATATATTGTTTAAAGGTAATTATTGGAAATACTTAGTAAATTATTTATATGCCTGTTGTTTCAATTGTTTTCACAGGTTAAGCGGTTGATTGTGTACACTGCCTTATGCTCGCAGATCTCCCTCAGTATTACTTATTTATCCATCTGCTCCTATTAAAAATGAGGATGTGATGCATTTAATTATTTGATTTATTTGTTTTCTCAGAAGGATATACCTTTATTCCATATATTATCACCCTCTTGCCATATAAAATATTGCAAATATATATATATATATTTTTTTTTTACCTATAGTAGACTAATCCAGAACAGCAAAGTGTTACAAATGAACTGAATTGCTGATTATTTCTAGTAATTTACTACATGTTTAAAGCAATTTACGTTTCACTTAAATGGACACATCCAAATGGGGATGCAGAGGCATAACACAAACAATGAAATAAGTAAATCCTACACACACACACAAAAAACATTAGTGAGAATATTTACATACAACCTACTTTTTTTTTTTAATGCAGAGGCTCCTCCACAGTTATACTGAGCTTCACAGGTAAGATTCTGAGAGGGAAATCTGTACAGCTGCTATAGAAAAATGGATAGACTGCTTCTGTAAATGTGCTGGTGAAAGTGCACAGATGTTTGTTAGTAAGAGGATCAGAGAATGAAATATGTCCGCTGTCCCAGTCCAGCTGCACTCTGATCACCTTCAATCGATTATCAACAGCTAAATGCTTGCGGGTCGTCAGTGGTGACTGTGTAGTGTACTGATCAGCCATATAACGCACACGCCACACTCCAGAGTCAAAGAAAACTTCTCCTTTTCTCTGGTTAGATGCTGTGGTTACTCCAACAGACCAGCATGTGTTGTTTTGGACCTCCACATCCCAGAGGTGTGTTCCAGAGTTAAAGCCCACTGAACCCAACACACAGTGATAATAGTCAAATCTCTCTGGATTTTCTGGATACTGTTGTCCATCAGCGCTGAATTTCACATGGGTCATATCATCAGTCAGGAACAGCAAAGGATATGCAGTGTTGGGGTCCAGTGTGACCGGAGCTGATGAGAATCATCACAAGACAAAGCTTGACCATTATTAGGCCTCATTGATGGTGGAGAAACACCGATCTCAAAGCACACAGATAACATCTAGACTTAATTAAGAATCAAATTCATCTTACATATTAATGTTGTGTTTGTTAGCATTTAAAGTTAGATAATTTCAACATATTACTAATAATTGATTAATTTAAATAACTAATACTGCATTCTTCTTGGAAATTTGCTGAGGCCCCTACTGGACCCCGATTGAGAATCACAGCACTAGACCAATAAACGTAATATATTTAGAGCGCCGTTTCAATTTATCCACTAACCCTTAAAATCTTAGGTCTGACAGTAAAATATGTAATGATAAAATATTTGTCAAATTCATTTGAGCATTTGAATTGATTAAAGATGATAGAAAAAAAAAATAGTCAATGTCCAACTGAAACAGCCTTTTATTTGATTTTGTACATTTTATTGTACTATCTTTATTGTAACTTTTCTGATGTTAGCGGGCATGTTTACACAAATCTACATAATTATTTAGCTGTGTATTTTAAAAAAGTTTTAAATTTTATTTTAAGTTAAATCATTTTTGTAATATTAGAAGGATGCACATTTAGAAGAACGAGAAGAACGCGTCATACGTCATTACGCTATTTCTTTGTCATTGCACATGCGCAGTTCTTTCAGTTTCGGGGTTCAATCCGATCGAGTGTTTACATGCACTCTCAATCGTATTAGAAAAGGAATAAACCACCCCCTTCAATCCGATCGAAATTTCATTCTGATCAAGCTCAATCAGATCGATTAAGGTGTTTACATGAAGGTTTTTCAATCCAATTGAGCCGTCAATCCGATTGCAAATGGATTATTTGGTTGCATGTAAACGTAGCCATTGACTCTTGGGAGCTATGCTGGTGGGGGCCAAGCCCCTTGTAGGTTCAACCAAGCCGGCCAGTTCCCTAAGCTAACATGGAAATCACCTGACAATAATCACCGTCAACCAGATAGACCACATTATAATCAATAAATGTAGCAAAGGTCCCTTCAAGATGTCAGAGTTGTCGTGGTGCCGATGTCAATAATGACTACTGTACTACCTACTCATTGCCTCCATCAAACTAAAACTGCGGAAAGCAGCCAACATCTAGATATTGATAAGCCAAAATGCTCAAAAGTTATCAAAGTATTCACCACCAAGTTAAGAAACCAGTTTGCTGTCCTGCCCAAAGAGGACAGAGATCCAAGCACTAACACCAAATCGGAATCCATCAAGACAGGTACCAGTGTCCTGGGCTATAAAAAGAAAAATATCAAGAAGTAGATAGCACCTGAAACCTGGCAAAAGGAACGTAAAGCATTAAAAGCCAAGATGCTGGCCATTAAAATCACCAAGACTTCTTGAAAGGGCCTAGGAAGCATACAAGGACAAAGACAAAGAGGCCAAGAAAAGTGCCAGAAAAGACAAGAGGGCCTCTGTAGAGAAGCTTGCTGGAGAAGCTGACGGGCTGTAGCAAGAGGTGAGATGAATGTTGGGTACAATATCACCAAACAACTTACTAGTAAAATAACAAACCAGTCCATGCCTGTTAAAGACAAAAATGGCAACAACCTCACTACCGACCAAGAAAAAGCTGTGAGATGGATAAAATACTTCCATTAAGCACTCAACCACCCAGAGCCAAATGACCCTGGTAATCCCCCTGCAACAGGTAACATTATTGATATCGATACTGGTCCCTAAACTGAGGCAGAGGTTAGGCTCTCCATAAAAACCATGAAAAATGGTATTGATTCCATCCATGCTGAAATGCTTATAAGCTAACCTCGATACCTCATGCAAGGTTCTCACAGACCTCTTTAGAAATATCTGGGAAGAACTGACTATCCCAGATGACTGGAATAAAGGCCTCATTGTGAAACTCCCCAAGAAGGGCAATCTTCAGAGCTGCGACAACTGTCGTGGCATCTCACATGCTTAGTTCCTTCAAAAGTTTTCTGTAGAGTTTTTCTATACAGAATTGATCAAACAAATGACTTTTAACTTTTAAGAACAAGCAGGATTCAGAAGTGGAAGAGGGTGCACAGATTAGATCTTTAATCTGAGAAGCATCATCGAAACAAAGCATTGAGTGACACCCTATGGAAAATCATGCTATCCTACGGAGTTCCACCAAAAATGGTCATGCTGATGAGGCTGTTCCACAGGAAAATCGAATGCAGCATCACTGCAGACGGACACCTGTCAGAATGGTTCCCTGTGAAGTCTGGTGTGTGGCAGGGCTGTATCATCTCTCCGATCCTCTTCCTGGTCACCATCGAATGGATAATGCAGAAATCAGCAGACAAACCCAGAGGCACCCCCTTCTCACAACTTGAAGACCTTGACTTTACAGATGACCTTGCTGTAGGTCTCTACAAAATTCAAACATCTCCAAGAAAAGACTGACAGACTGAATAGCTTCGCCCATGCAGGTGGGCCTGAACATCAACCCATACAAGACCAAAGGTCAATAACAAATTATTGGAATGTGTCAACAATTTCACATACCTAGGAAGCCTCGTTAGCAAGGATAATGCAGCACAAAAAGACATACAAGTAAGGCTCAGAAAAGGCTTTCGTCACACTAAACACAGTCTGGAAATATAGGCAATATATGTACTACAGCTTTGTCAAAGCAGTCCAGCTGTACGGCTCAGAATGCTGGGGAGTTACTAAGAGTGACCTGAACAAGATCAGCACCTTCCACAATATATGTCATATATTCTGGCCTATGAAGATCACCTATGAAAAACTGTACAAGAGAACAAAGAGCCATAGCGGTCATTGAGATCAAGCAACATCGAGTCCTCAGAATGGACCAGGACTTAATTTCGAAGACTGCCCTGAGATGGTCATCACCTGGCAGAAGAAAACAAGGGCAACTAAAAGCAACATGGAGACATACAGTTATGACAGAACTAAAGGTCTAAGGCACAGTAGGCTGCAAACAATCAAGCCAAGTGGAAATAAATCATTGTTGCCTTATGTCCAACTAGGGACGAAGAGGAGAAAGTAAGCTGCATAACAGCCTACTCCTTATATTGTGATTAAGAATTTGTTTTATTTTGTCTGGGCTTACACACACACACACACACACCGATGAGCCATTACATTATAACCACCTATCTAACAACTTGCAGGACCTCCTTTAGCCAACAAAACAGTGGCCACATGGCAAGGTATTAATTCGACAAGGTGGCGATAGGTCTCCAGGGGTATTTAGTACCCTAATGTCAACAGCAGATCCTCCAGTTCCTGTACAATGCGGAGTGTTGGTGATGAAACCACAAATGTTTGACTGGGATTTGGAGGCCAAGGCATTAAAAGGAAATCACCATCATGTTCCTTGAACCACTCCTTGACGATTCTGGCAGTGTGGCTTGGTGCATTATCCTTCTGGTAATGGCCATCACTGGCAGGGAACACAGTTGCCATGCATAGGTGCACTTGGTCCTCAACGATGTTCAGATACTTGACAGCGACCTCTGTCATTGCCAACAAAGGGTATATAACATATATATATATAATATATATATACATATATATAAAATATATAATTTTGTTATTGACTAAATACTTATTTTCCACCATAAATTGCAAATAAATTCTTTAAAAATCCTACGATGTGATTTTCTGGATTTTTTTTCTCATTTTGTCTCTCATAGTTGAGGTATACCTATGATGAAAATTACAGGCCTCTCTCATCTTTTTAAGTGGGAGAACTTGCACAATTGGTGGCTGACTAAATACTTTTTTGCCCCACTGTATGTGTGTGTGAATGTGAATGAAAAGTCATGTGACTGAAACAGATGAATGCAAAACCTACTGAGTTGAACTATCGCCATCATCTTCTGCCAGACTTCAAACTTCAGGTTCCCCAGGTGTTCTGCAACATTCACCAATGCTCCAGCAGGCATCACTGGATCCCTCAGTGTGATCTGAGCTCTGCGATTACATTCAGGAGTTAGACAGACAGAGGAAGTGAACTGCAGAGAGAAGACAGCTCGCTTACCTGTCTTTTGACACATTGAAGTTCTGCAAAACACAAATGGAGGAAATAAGCTACATGATCAAATGTTATTCAACCCTCAACTAAATTCAGGAGTTAGACAGACAGAGGAAGTGAACTGCAGAGAGAAGACAGCAAGAAAACAGCTCGCTTACCTGTCTTTTGACACATTGAAGTTCTGCAAAACACAAATGGAGGAAATAAGCTACATGATCAAATGTTATTCAACCCTCAACTAGTGGTCAAGCAATACTGATTCTATGCTGACTGATGCTAATACCTATGTAAATCTTAGCAGATAGACAGATGGCCCATATACAAACAATATCAATATCACATTATTTTACTAAAAATAGAAAAGTAAATGCTATGATACTTTATCATTTACTATTTACTTTATCACTTCTGTCTAGTAATGTAAGAGTAGAGACAATAAACTAAGGAAAAGGGAGAATGGGAGCTCCAACACACAGGCGTTGTCGAAATAAAAGTCCAGCTTCCTACACATCAGCCAAGCAGGCCGATATATTGATTGACCACTAATTCAACCTTGATGAGAGTCACTTTAATGTCTTTATTTTGTAGATAACTACAATAAAACAATTGTGTATAAATAAATACAATTTAAAAAAATCGATAAATACAATAAAACCTTAAACTGAAAATGCAGGTTAGTTCTTACCTGTAGAAAGGGGATGTCAGCAGCATCTAAATCTTTTTTTATAGTTCCGATGTTGTTTGAAAGAGATTCGATCTCTCTCTCTATTTGTTCAATCTTCTCCTTCATCATCTGACTCTTCTTATTCTCTTCCTCTATCAGTGCAGATATTCTAATCATCTCTTCATCTCGCAGAAACTGATGAAGCCGCTCAAAATCCTCCTGCAAGCATCTCACGGTCTGCTGAGTCTGAGCCTGTATAAAATACAAAGATGCTTTCGCATCACTTCTTCTACTTGAATCTTTCTATAAATGCTTTAATCTAGAATATTTCACTGTATAGTTCTCACCTTAATGTGTTGTGCTGCATCATCAAATGTTTGTTTGATTTCTTTAAAGCTCTCAAGTTTTTCTTGTAAAAGTTTCAAAGAAGTCTTGAGTTTCACCTAAAATTATTTAAATTACAAAATAAATATATATATAGTTTTATATAAATATGTAGTTAGTTGTTTTGATATTGTTAGTAAAGTTGTTTTTCCCCCCCAATGTCTTACTTTATTCTATTCTGAACTCTATTTACTTTATGTAGTTGTATATCAAATTCATAGCATGACCACTTTCAAAGAAACCGGAAACATTAACACATCACCAACGGCTAGGCATTTTTCAATAACCCAGGAGCAAATAACAGGTAACGAGGAAATCCGGTGCTATTAAACAAGAACCCAGAACAATTACATGAATAAAACATTGAGGGGGGAAAAAACATGGTGAAACAATTTCCAAACAGAAATTGCAAATGCTAATAAATGTCACCAATAATTACAAAGAAATAACAACTAACACATTGAATTAAACATGAAATTTTGAATTTTTTCTTGTAAAACATACTCCAGTAACCTTTTATTTACAACTTCGAATCTTTTATTTTTAACTTACAAAATATTTTTTTACAGTGTACACTAGAATCATAATGACACGTTTGACCTGAATAGAGACATAAATATGTTTTACCTTTAGAAGCGGTGTGACTTCATCAACAGGTCTGAATGTGTGATTAAGGTGTTTTTCTGAATCTCTGCACACCAAACACACAGGATGGTTATCATCCAGACAGAAGAGTTTGAGTTTCTCTCTGTGCACATCACAGAACACCTCAGATGATGACTGCAATGAACTTCTCTTCTGTAAGAATGACTCACACATGTTACGCAGTGCAAGATTAGCAGGTGTCTGACATCCTGTGAATCTTTTCCTGCACACTGGACATTCCTGAAATCCTCTGGAGCTCCAGAACTGTTGCAAACAAGCTCTACAGACACTGTGACTACATAACAGAAGCACAGGATCAGTGAAGATGTCTAAGCACACAGGACACAGCAGATCCTCCTCTGATATCTGACTCAGAGAACTCATTTTCTACCGCAGTCTCTCCAGTTATGATTGAGAAACGTTATAACTAAAAGCTTTTATCATCACAAGATGTCTGCTATACCGGATATCCTTGTTCGTTTCTGAGCTTTGGTCTCTAGCACGTTTAATATGTGATCATGTAGTCACCACTTTCCACATTACAGGTTAATGATTACTTCAGAGGACTCATGCAAAAGCAAACTGACTCAAACATGTATTTGATTTGAAGTCAGAGTGAAGGAATGCAAGCAGAGATGAAAAATCTGTCTTCCAGGAGGAATTATGTCCGGAGTCTGCAATCTTTTTGACATTTTTATTTTAATCACTGCTTTAATGAAAAGCACATTTACTTACTAAGAATGTTGCAGATCTTTTCCTCTTACATTATGTTTGTTTGCTATTTATTAATTAATTAATTTATGTGCTTTTCATGCAAGTTTCCTTCCATTATGTGGAAAAAGGATATCCAGGCCTTTTGTAAGCAAAACTTCACAGACATGAAGCTTTTAAATGGCTCTTGTCTCAGTTCATTTCCTCGTACAAACAATTTATTGAGAAAGTGGTATATGTGTAATGTCACCTGACTAAACCAGAAAACAGGTCTGATCTCCCCTGTTTGTCAGAGAAAGCGCTAACAACAGTATGAACTGATGGACTTTTTGCGAGAAGAAAAATTCAAAACTTTTAGTTCTCTGTTGAATGGGAACTTGCACTGCATCCTTTAGTGGACACTATGGGGGAATGCCTCCACTGTGACCAGTATTTGAAGCATGTGTGAAAACACTCATTGGCCAGTGACAGCCCATGAAGCATAAGTGGGTGCCTTTAATACACATCATTAGCTTTTTTGTCTTCAGGAGCTGTTTGTTGTGTATAGCATATGGTAGAGGCATTACTATGGAAAAGGAAAACTCCTGTGAACATTTTAGGAAGTGAGTGCCTCCGTGTCCCAGGTTTCTGACACCTGAGGACACACACAACCTTTGCATTATCTGCCTTGGAGAGGAGCATGTGCGTTCAGTGCTCGAGGGTTCTGAATGCTCTTCATGCCCCATTTACACGGGGCGTCGGCGTCAACGCCTCTCATTTACTTTGAATGGAGTGACATCAAGCGTTGCCGAAATGAATTGTGGGTCCGTCGCGTCGCATTGGGTCCATTGCTCACGGCAGAAATTGTAAACTTTTCAACTTTAAGCGCCAACTCAGGCATCAGTCAATCAGATCGCTTGAGTCATCTAATCTGGCAGACATAATTTTGCTGGTATCGTTCAGTCAAGATGAGGATGTGTTGATGATGGTGAGGAAAGTATGATTACTGAGTCATCTCAACCTGCCAGCCCCGCATCAACAAGTTTTTGGATGTCATGGCCTGCACCGCAAAGAGACTGGATCTGGTTTGGAGGCGCAGAGTTACTTGTGGCAGACTAGACGAGCGCTTTCTGTCAGACCATGTTCGTCCTTCCCCTTGCGGATTATGGTAATGTGGAAGGATTGGCTGAGTGAAGATGCCTCCTGTGGGAGAGATGTTTGAGAGCTATCTCTGCCAAGGGTAAATCATCTTCTTTGAAGACTCCTGCGCTGCTATACATGCCACTTCGCACTTGAATGGCAGGGCGTATGCAGCAGCAGGTCAAGCCAGGAGAGCTTTACACACATTGGCAGTGTTACAACCAGGCAGACCTACTTAAAGATTTGGATGAAGGTAAGGGTTTGTTCCCTGAAACAGTTGCTGAGCTGCACCGGAGTACAGATTTTGCCCTCTGGGCTAATAAGCAAAATGCCGCTGCTATCGGGCCTTCAATGGCAGCAGCGGTGGCCATGGAGAGACACCTGTGGTTAAATTTAACGGACATCAGGAACTTTCTTTTCAATGCTCCAGTCTCACCTTCTGGGCTTTTTGGCACATCCATTGAGATGGTGGCACATCCACAAGTTCAAGGGGGAAAGGGCGCAGCTGGCGGCATTAAGGAAAGTCCCTTGCTGGAGCAGATCTAGAGCTCTAACCCTAATCAAACACACCTGAGCATGCTAATCAACGTCTTCAGGATCATTAGAAAATCACAGGTAGGTGAGTTTGATCAGGGTTGGAGCTAAACTCTGCAGCGCATTGGCCCTTCAGGGCAAGATTTGAGGAACCCTGTTCTACAGCCTTCTACATGAATATCTAGATCAGCGGTGGTGAACTCCGGTCCTGGAGAGCCACAGCCCTGCAGAGTACAGCTCCAACCCTAATTAAAACTCACCTGCCTGTAGCTTCCTAGTAACCCTTCAGACCTTGATTAGCTTGTTCAGGTGTTTTTGATTAGGGTTGAAGCAAAACTGCAGGGCTCTCCAGGATCGACGTTCGCCTCCCCGATCTAGACTGTATATCCCAGAAAGTGGTGGTTATGCCCAGATCAACAATACAATAACTGTGTATCCACTGTCGGGCCAAAAACGAGGGTGCTAGTGCTCTATCCAAGTTAGAAGACTGTGTGCACGGCTGCTCATTTCCCATGTTTTATATTAAGCTACCAGCTAACATCAGCATATAAGACATGCAAACAATTTTATTGGCAAAGCTCACTTTCAGACACCAGAGAGTGTCAGAAGTAACTTATAATTGAGATCTGATGGGAATTCTGATTACTGTATGAGGCATTTGTTATTTCTTTGATGAGTCTTTGATGAATAGAAAGTTCAAAAGAACATCATTTATTTGAAATGGAAAACTTCTGAAACATTATAAATGTCTTTACTGACACTTTTGATTAATTTAATGCGTTCTTGCTGAATGCAAGTATTAACTTATTTATAATTTTATTCCAATAAAACATTGGAACTGTAGCGTATGGAGAATGAAAATATGAATCAAATATGAATGTGACAGAATGTGTCACCATTAATTTGACTTAGTAATCATATATTTGTAAGCAAGCCTGTTTGATTTCCAATAACTAGCTAAGTATATGATGACCTGCGAAATATGTTTTTGTTTCAGTAAAGTAATTTTTTAACAGTACTAGAGTAAAGTACAAAGTTACTCAAGTACTTTGCACCCTTGATAAATATGCAGTTCAGTATTTATGACAACATTTATATGCAGCTAAACTCCAAAAAAGGATTTAACACTGATTTTTGGTTGCTTTGTGAACAGTGTAGTGCCAAAAAAACAAAACAACTAGGGCTGTTGTAATTGGTTTATAAATCTATCAAAAACATTTGGTATGGAAACTGCTTCACACATAAGGCTTCAGTTTCATTTTAATACCGAGCCACTACTGTATGAACATTACAGTCACGCCCTCAAAATAGCAGCACACTAAAATAGAATGCTGACTGCATAGTAAAAGACCGTTACAAATGTGTAACAGATTTATTTTTCCTTACACATGGTAACAGCTGGAGAACTATTTTTGAACAAGCACTCATGTCGTTAAGACAGTGCTGGTTACCATCCTGCATGTTTATTGGCTCCAACTGACTTCTCTTATCTGTCAGTTTATTGACGGCTGTGGAATGAATGTCCTGATGCAGGATAACAGCCGTCAGATCAGAGTCTCTGGATCTCCCACAAGCATTTGGTGAATCTCACAATGGCATGTGTTTGGAAAATTATTCTTCTCAGCATTTTCATTGTCTCTGGTAGAAGTAACGTGTTGAAAGGTATGTCCTTAAACGCTTTTAGTTG